TTAGAACCCAATAACGTTCCAAGCACAACAACCATGTTCTTAGAACATTAACCCGATGTGTTCAAACAAGACAGTCTACAACGGACATGTTCTGATAATATTTCGTGGAAATCACACAAAGTTCTTAGAACATTCTTTGGTAGCCCTTGAGGCGAGCCATGGCGCCTCGCCACTGCTTGAGCAGCAGGAGTCCTGTGTCTTGGCTGCCCAGATGACACGAAAGTCAACTCGGGTGCGCCACCGAGTAAAGACGACGGCGCCGGCGCGCGCGTGGGAAGGAGGCGGCCGAGAGGAGCCCGCGCCCAGACAGGCGACCACGAGGGGCCCAAGCGGAAACCTACTACAGTCATCTGCCTGACCTAAGGAACGATGAACAAGGAATGAAGCCCCTTTTTTCCAGGGAGCGACTCATAAGGAACGGTCAGAATACATGACGCATGAGGAACGATAGACAACGTATGCGGACCTAAGGAACGACCGAGCCCCCTTTGAAAAATCAGTGTTCCTTATTCAAGCCGCTCACTGTAACTCGTGAATTCGTTCGGTCAATTTGGCTGGCCCCGACAAGGGAGCCGCGGCCGGCTCTCTCCGAAAGGCAGAAGCGGGCGGGGGGGGAGGAGGCGGAAGAAGGCACGCCCTCTCTCGAGGCAGAGCCGGTGCAGGCGGGAACGCAGCCGCACCACCACCACCGAGGGACCCAGGGGGTCGGGAGGGGCAAGGTGCGGAAATCGTCGCCATCGCGCCGAGAACGGCCCTTTCGCGCGAGGGCCGCAGCCGGCCCCGAGGGCCACCCCCCCCCGGGAGCTCCAGGAGGCCCTCAAGACGGCTCCTTAAGGGTGCCGAAAACGCTGCCACAATGAATCCAAGATGGCTCCAAGACGCTTCCAAGAGGCTCGCGGAGCGGAAGCTCCGCGAAGGCTTGACGGGCCTGCTCAGGCTGGCCAAAGGCTTCGGTCTGACGGCTTCCCCAGCTCTGTGCCCCACTGCATGCTGCCCCACTTCCCTGATCAAGAGACGTCGCCTGGTCATCGTTGCTGCATGGGCAAGCGGGGATACGACCAGACCTATGGCAGAAAGACATCCCTCAAGAACACGAGGCCCTTCGCCGGCCAAACTGAAGAACATTCCAGGGTACCCTCCCCCAGAATGCACAAGAACATCCGAAAAACACGAACAACACTAGAGCACCCTCCCCGAACCGACCTCGATCTTATACCTCGGTCCGACCGCACGTGAAGCGTCATGAGTAACCGTCTAGGCCCCGACCCCGTGTGGAACCCTCGGCTGCTGCGGCCGTCCCCGCCCGGGGGAGCGCACCGCTGAAAAACTCGGCGCGCTCCGCGATCGCGCGGAAGTCCGCCTCCTGCAGGGCGTTCGGCGTGTCACCTCCCAGGACGTCGTCGTCGTCGCCGCCGTCGTCGTCGTCGCCGCCGCCGCCGCCGTCGTCGTCGTCGTCGTCGTCGTCGTCGTCGTCGTCGTCGTCGTCGTCGTCGTCGTCGTCGTCGTCGAGGATCGAGGTTCTGGACGTTTTGGGCCTTTTCGGATCTCCAAAGGCCTTTGGGGACCTCCGGAGACCTCTTGGGACCTCCAGGTATCTCTGAAGGATGTACGGGAGAAACATGATGATTATGATTGAGGTGGTGATGTGGAGGGGGAAAGAGAAGGCGGGTGGGTGGTGGGGATGGGGAACGGGCATGGGCATGAGGAGGACCAGGAAGGCGAATATTACGAGGAGGGTTTAAGGCGATGGAAAATAAACAAATATTCCCAAAACAACTTGTCTGCAAGGGCTCTAGACCTTTTTTCTGGGAGGGCATGAACAGATCCGGATCTGGAGCCGGTGGTGGCCCGTGGTCTCCCGTGTGGCATTCCTCCTGTATATGGCAGTCTCCCGTGTGGTGGTCTCCCGTGTGGCGGTCTCCCGTGTGGTGGTCTCCCGTATGGCGGTCGTCTGCATGGTGGTCTCCCGTGTGGTGGTCCCTCGTATTGACTCCCAAATGCTCCCCCGTGTGTGCTATGGAAACGTTTTCCTGAAGCATGCTGGGCTGAATCGCAGTACAAGGCCGCTCATGTTCTCTCTGGTCTTTGACTATGCTGGTTCGGCTCTTCTGCCACCAGGGTCACCAGGGTGTAATTTGCTAGGCGCTGCGTGAAAGGGCACATCTCGCGGGAGCGACTTGGGAGGCGTGGTTCGCAGTCGCTCGAGGCCTCACCAGTCTTCGTGCTCAACCCCTTGACTATGTGTCTTGGGTTCGCAAACATGTGTCCTCCCCTGCAGGTGGCTTCATGGCAAGGACGAACGGCACCACGAATATGGACTGGGCCTCGCGGGCGTAATATCGAGCCTCCCTGGCGCGTGACTATGAAGAACTGTTCAATGAACCAGCGTCGTCCCGAGCCTCTTCGCGCAAACAACTCAAACTCGAACCGTGCTTCGCTGCAACCGCTCTATCCGGCGAAGAAATCAAAGCCGACGTTTTCGAGGACAGACGGTAAATATCAAAAACTCCAGACCAAACAATAGGCCGCCCCACGATGACGGCTGGCCCTGCAGGGAGAAAGAGAGAGAGAAACAAAGAAAGAGAGAGTTTGAGCAGGGACCGACCGTCACGGCATCCCCATCTTTCTATCTATCTATCTATCGATCTATCTAATTATCTATATACATTCACAGTTATATGTATATGTGCATATATCTATACGTTGTGCATCAGATATCAGTGAATAGAACATATGTAGATCAATCGATAGGCCTCCCTGATTTCTCTGGCCAGGCGCCCCTCCCGGACCTCTCGGACCAAAATCCACGTCGCCCGGTTTCCGAGCTCGGCGAGCGGGGCCCCGCCCGCCTGGCGGTCGGCGCCTCCGCCCCGGAGGGTCGCGCGCAGCGCTGCCTCCTGCCTCCGCGCTGCCTCCGCCCGCCCTCCTCCTGCGCGCTGGCACGGCAGGCGCCAGCAGGGGGGGACGCTTCCCCCGCGTCCGCCGCGGCGCGGCGTCGAGAGCGCAGCAGGGCCAAGAGCCAGCCTCAGCGCCCAGCCGGCATTCCGAAACGGCCGAGCGTGTCCGCCCACCTGGCCACAGACGTCGGGCAGACAAGAACGAGGCCCCTTCACGTTGGCACACGGGGGCGCATCACGCTGGGGCTGGCTCCTGCTCTGATCCTTGTTTCTGGTCGAAGGGATCAAACAAAAGTGGGCCTGGGAGTTTTTTTTTGTTTTTCTTTTAGAAATGTGTCCCTTCAAGGCGCGAGTGGTGGTGGGGGTTCTGGACCCCTCCAGATAATTGTCCCGGGTGGGAGGGGTCCCGAACTGCCCCTTCCCCCCTTGGTTTTGGGCGTGGGGCGGGGGGGTGAATACTCTGCTGGCAAGCACGCGTTGATCATATACATATACGTATATATATACACATATTAGTTTACATATACACAAGTATGCACACATTCTTGTGCACCTGTGGGCGACGAAAAGAAGCAGGCCTCATGCGCGATGACGACTTTACGCCGCGGTTTACGCGGGCCGCCAGCGTGGTACACCAGGTCGAAGTGAAGAGCGAGGGCGATCACGCGACACATTGTGCGGGCAACTTGCGCGCGAATGCCTGTGCAGTCAATCCCATATTTCGGTGTCGCCCACTTGTAGATAGAAGGTATTTCCCCCCCACCCACACACACACCCCTCTTTGGGCGCCCGAATGATCCGGGGTAACTCGGGTCTGGGGTAACTCGGGTTTGGATTCCCGAAAAACGAATCCGAATTAGCCCCTGATGACTTGGGGCTCTGGACGCCCGAATTATCCGGGGTAACTCGGGCCCGGGGTCACTCGGGTTCGGATCCCGAACAAAAACGTACCCGAGTTAGCCCTGTCCCGAGTTACTCCTGATGACTCGGGGCTCTATCCTCTGTCTCTCGGACACGCAAGCGGGGTGGGCACCTAAGTGCAGCTTGAGCATGACGGTCCTCGCCTCAGGCTCCTGGGATCGAGGATCAGGGGGCGTGGGGGAGGGGCGGGGGCGAGAAGGGCTGGAAACGGCGAGGTGGGAATGTGGGGACGATGACGGAGACGAAGAAGATGATTACACTAGAGAAAAAAACCCAATCAATGGATGGTTTGATGAATCGTGGGATCGATAAAGAGATCGATAAGGAGATCGTCAGGGACCCCCCAAACCCAGAACTCACCGAAATCGGCGCGGAACTAATAACCAAGAACCGGGGAACCCCGAATCGGTAACCCGGGAACCCAGCCGGCCACCAAAATCGGCGGGACACTTTCGCCACGTCTTTCAATTTCTGGTAGGACCCCTTCAATGCAAGCACTGATTGGGGAATGAGGGAGGGGGAGGCGTGGGAGAGGAGAAGATGGCCATGACCAGGGCTCGAGCTGAGCACTGTTTTTCGTCTTCGTTTGTCTTCGTTTCGTCTTCGTTCTGCCTCTGCTGCGAACCGAACTCAAAACGACAACGGTCCACGAAATCGCCGAACAGCGTTTAGCTCGAGCCCTGGCTATGACAAGCTAGCTCAACGGGAGAGGATGGGGAGGAGGAGGAGGTTCGGTTCAAGGTTCCCCGAGGCGGGAGGGTATTTTGCCCATTGCCGGCAGAAACGCAGCAGCAGCAGGAGGAGGAGGAGGAGGAGGGAGAGGGGGAGGGGGAGGACGAACAACATGAGGAAGAGGAGAAGCACGAGGAAGATGCCGGGGAGCACGAGGAGGAAAAGGACGAACACAAGGAAGAGAAAGGAAGGGCGACGCAGATCCGCAACGGCAGAAAGCACCCGAGCGTGGCGCGGGCATCGAAGTGGGCACGCTGGCGCTCAACACACGAGCTGGGACCGCCCAGCGAAACCGCCAGCGCCGTACCGTAGCGACGGAAGCAGACATAGGAGAGCAACACCCCGCCCCCCCCCCCCCCCTCGTGGGTCTGGACGGGGGCAGCACCGACGTGTCAGGGGGTCCTTCCCGGCCGAAGACGTGGCGTCAAGGGGGCCCCAGGCAGCCCAAGACGGCCTCCGATATGGCCCAAGATGTCTCAAGCTGGCTCAGGTGGCCTCCGACATGCTTCCAGGTGACGACCCCGAGCAGTGCCCAGCGCCCGACCCGCCCCCCCCCAGCAGGAGGAGAAACCCTCCATCCTCCTGCGCATCCTCATCCTCGTTGTCCTCCTCGTCGTCGTCGTCCTCCTCCTCCTCCTCCTCCTCCCTTGTCCTTCTCTTCGCCCTCCTCGTCGTTGCCTCATCCGTAGTTATTTTGGCTCAAAGTTCTGAGTTCCACCAGGGAACAAGTGGATACGCTAGTCCGCGACTTGCATTCATCCGTCGCCTGGGCAGCTCCAGGCTGAGCACATCGAGGTTCGCCCCTCGGTGCGCGTCCATTGCCTCAGCCAGGCTGCGCGCTGGCCAGCGGCTTCCGCCATGGTTCCGTCCCCGACCGTGCTGCGCGGCCCCCGCAAGCCCTTTTGGGGTTGTGGGCAATGCGGCAGGGCATCGAACTGGACGAGTCTCGTGCAATGCTTGTGCGGAACCAGCGCGCCTGAAAAGGTTGTGGTTGCAGCCCGTGCGGCAGATAAAGCAGCAGCATACGGTTCTCCTCCGTCCAGGCGTGTCGGCGGCACTGGTCTGCGGCCAAATCCTGCACCATGGAGTCCTGCTTCCAAGCGCATGCAGCAGGTGGAGCAGCGCCTCAAAGCAGCGGAAGCAGAGCTTCAGAAGGTCAAGTCCAACGGCGGCGCGAGCAAGGCGGCCGTTCACGACAAGACCCAATCCACGGATGATCCCATACAGAACAAGCGTGCGTGCGTTCTCAAGCAGACAGGAGTCTACTAGAAGGTTGTCAAGGAGACTGCTGAGTTCGGCGGTCCCAGTCATGAGGCCAACAAAACTGTGCTTGAAGAGTTACGTGCTCAGGCCAAGGCCCTGCGGCCTCCCGCCACGGCGCACAAGACAGCGATGCAGACGCTTAAGAAATCGAAGCAGCAGCGGGTCAAGCAAGCAAATGATCTTTCAGAAATGGTCCGCACGTTGCAGCAGCTCCAACAGGACATTGCTCGCGAGGAGGCGGCCATCAAGCACTGCAGAAGGAAATCGCAAAACGTGCTGCCAAGCTTCATCCGCAGTCGAACAACGTCGATGCCAACCAAGAGGCACTTCCCGACGACGCGTTCACGATTGTTGTCGATGATGATGAAGTCAAAGGTGATGCTGAATGTGGGCTTCTACAAACAGCTCTCGTCCAACCCGCTGTTCGACAAATACCAGAAGCTCGTGCGCAACTAAGGCAAGCAGCAGCAACCTGAAGTTGACATGCGACAGGAAGATGTTCGTCCTACCCCGCCTCCTGACTCTGCAGGCGTCAAGCGGTCCACGGATGAACGTGAACGGTTCGACCTCGGCGATGCCAAGAAGCTGCGGCAAGACCTGCAAAGCGGCGGGGTACAGTCAGGTCAGAAGGCCCAGCGTCTCCTCGAGTTTCTGGACCAAGATGAGCCGCGCTGAACCTGCTGGTGCTTTTATCGATAATGATGACACGAATATTTGACACTACCGCTCTTTGTGGTCACGGAGTCAACGTAACAGGTGATGGCACTTGCACCTCGGCATCTGCAACCTGCTTTACTGGTGCTACTGCAGTTTCTGGGTCGGCGGCAGCGAATTCGGCCTCCCAGATTCTCTCTGATGCTAGTTCTATTTCGCGAGCTACTGGTGCTGTAGGGCCCCGAGCGACGAGTTCGGCGTCCCTGGTGTTCTCTGATGGTGGTTCTATTTCAAGAGCTACTGGTGCTTCAGGGCCCCGAGCGACGAGCTCGGCGTCCCAGATTTGTCAGACTGGTGGTCCTTCTTGCAGTGCTGCTGGTATTCTTGGCAGTGTCACGTCTCGGAGGACCTTGTCTGCTGGGCAAGGCTCCCCGCCGATGCCTGTATCTGGGACTGGCGGTCCATCTCCTAGCCAGGCATGTTGCGTTGACGTGTTGTTTCAGGCTGATCAAGCTGATGGAATCGGCGTGAATCCCCATGGGTATGGTATTTCGGGGGCGGCCAAGAGGGGTGCGTCCAAGAGGGGGGGGCGCAAATCATGGCCAGCGGCATGTGCGCGGTCCGGCGGGGGGGGCCCGGGGACGCACTGAGATACGATGACGCGCCGTGAAATCTGGGGAGATCCCACGGCCCCCGCCACGATATCCACCCGCCCCCTGGTCATCGCCCCCTCCTCTGCCGCCCCCGAATCTTGTGCGCGAGACCCCTCGCGAACGAGATTTTCGTTCGGGCGCCGGGCCGTGCCGCGCGAACGTCTCGCCCTGCCCGCGCCTGCGAGGCCGCTGGGCCGAGAGGGCGGCGGCGGGGCGCGTTCGGCAAGCCCCCGCGTCGGCGGGCCCCGCGTCGGAGGCTGGAGAAGGGCGGTGGTGGTGCTCCATCGTCGGCGACACGTTCGGCGCCCCAGCGTCTGGCTCACTGAAGGGGCCCTGGGACACACAAATAAATACACACAACTAACAGGATTCCACATATCCATATGTTCTGAGTTTTTGCCTTCCCCCACTTCCCATATGTTCCAACATTCTCCTGGGAGTGGGCGCTTCATTGTGTCTGTGTGTTTTTTCACCTCCTGACTCACGGTGGTGCAGAGGCTGGCGTCAGGACAAATCCTGGGCAGCTCGGCGTGCCCTCTGGCAGCGTGGATGTCGCTTGCCGCGGAAGTCCAGGCGCGTTCGAGCTGCCGGGCGCACGTCGCCATGTTCGGGCGAAAGCCCTGCCGTTGTGTCCGCATCGGCGCTTTCGGCTCCTCTGCGTTCGGTGGATGGCGTTGCTGAAGGTGGCGTCAGGACAAGTCTTAAGTCGGGCCTGTCCCCCTACAGGGGGATTTTAGACAACAGAGAAAATAGTAAAACTTGCAAAACGAAAACAAAATTTTAACACATCCTCCTCATACATTTTTTATAAATAGTTTTGAATATCCCTCCTGTAGAGGGACAGGCCCGACTTAAGACAAGTCCTGTTTTGCTTTGCGCGCCGAGTTCTGGCAGCGCGGGCTTCGCGTGCCCGCGTGAGTCCAGGCGCGTTGAGGCTGCCAGGCGCAAGTCGCCCGGCGTGGACGCGAGGTGCACTGCAGACGCCGCAGCACGAGTGACGACGGGGCTTGACAGAAGCGAGCTGGCTCTTCCGAAAGTGAGCAGCCTAAAATTGTGCGGCGGTAAGAGCAAGGCTCCAGCGACGCCTGCACACGCCACCCGGACGTACCTGATCGAGACCTTCAATGCCAACCAGGGGCGCAACGCGATGAAGGCTCGCTTGAAGGCCACGTCCGCCAAGATAGTGCAGGTGCAGGAGATTGGCTACCATGATTGGGATGTGGAAGACTGTTATGGACTTGCTGCCAAGATGGGGTGGTCTGATAGTGTTCTTCCTGGCGCTCCCACTGCAGGTCATCCGCTTTATGCTGGCATTGCGGTGTTTGCCAACATCTTATCAACGTCCGAAGTCATCCCTCACAGAACTCAGCATGTCATAGCTGATGTCCCAAGGTGGCCCTCCTTCAGCATCTTTAACATTTACCTGAACACCTGCGAAGGCATGACTGCACGCAGCACCGTCATTCTCGCCGATATTGGCGAGGCGCTCGCTGAAATACCGTATCCAGCGATCACGGGCGGCGATTGGAACATGTCCAAAGTTTGCTGAGGGTTCCACCTTTCCCCTGCATGCTCATGTGGAGCTCGCGGTGCCCAGCAGTTTCACGTGCAGAACGCGCGCAGCATGCTCCACGATTGACTACTTCGCACCCATTGAGGCCGCGATGAGGCTGTTTCGCTCGGTCAAGGTCGATGCTGCAGGGCACGTCGAGCCCCGCCGACCTGTTCAACTGCGAATGGCAGCTCATGGCAGCAGCTTGCAGGCGCAAACGCACGGCTCCGCCCCCAAGGTTCGAGCAGTCGTGCCAGAAGGTCTTCATCTTCATGAGGCATCGTGGATCTGAGATATTCTGAGCACGCGGTTGCACTGGCTAAAGAACGCCCAGACGCAGACCAAGAGTTTCCGGCGCTTCACCGGGGTCAATTTGCCGAGCATGCTGCGCGGGGGCTGGCCCGGACCACTGGCATTGACGTCCGTGGCTTCGGTGTATTTTCCAGATTCTTGCAGCCTCGATGGGTTGATATCCACTGCGAGCTCAAGGATGTGCCTGGTATTCGAGCTCGTGCCGATGGCTGGGATTGGCTGCGTGCTATGATCACGGCGAGTGTCCAGCTTCGAAGGAATGATCAGCAGCCCCAACTCGAGAAAATGCAGGATGACATACTATTGTTTCAAACCTCCAGAGTGTCCGGGTCAAGGAGGCAATCTTCGCCTCGATACGAGCGTGACTCAGGCCAGGCGTCCGATTGGATCCCATTGCCATCGTGGAGCTGTCAGAAAGTGGCTTGAAGAGCGGCAAGATGGCGTAGATCGATCGTTTCAAGAGGCTGGTACAGACAGCAAGAATAGGTGGCGCGACTGGTGCAGGCAAGCGAGTGCAGGTGGAGCTCGAAGACCTCGCCGTATCACGCAAGTCAGACCAATGCAACCGCCCGCCACAATCAACTCGAGCACTGGTAAGTACTCCGCTCATCATCATGACGTCGTTGCCCTTATTGGGGGGGGGGGGGGGGGGCGAGTGCACCAGTATCCGGCGCGGCGCATCTGTCGCACCCGCAGCGCGGGTTCCTGACAGAAGCTCCCTCACTCGCCCTGGGCCAGAAAACGCAGCGGGGCATTCCCGTGCGCCGCGTCTGCTGGGCTGGACGGGCTTCGCCCTCGCAATCTCCTTCACTTGCGTGATGGCGCGCTGCAGACCTTGGCCACCTTATGCGAAGCAATGGAGTCCTTGGGCATGTTGCCCGAGCAATTGATTTGGATGTTGATGCCCATGGTCCCCAAGCCTCAAGGCGGATATCGTCTCAGCAATCTTTATGCATATGATTGTCGTGTCTGGCAACGGATCAGGCGATCAGAATGCGACAACCTGCATCAGACCCTGGGCGGGATATCCTGGGGCGCGGGCAGGGGTCGTAGCCCGGCCAGCAATGTGTGGGCGTTGGCAGCAAGCACCGAACCGTGTTTGGCAGCTGAACGGTTCTCCGTTACAGACGTTGCACATTAATTAAAGTACTTCGAGAGTATCGAGCTGGCGCGGCTGGGAGACGAGTTCGTCGCTTTTGGCGCCCCCGCTGCGCTGGTCAAGCTCGCGTGCAATGCATGGCGGGCTCCTCGGGTCACTCGTTTGCTTCGCCTTTGCGGCGATCGCCCTCCGCGCGCTGCGCGCGGGTCCCCAGCTGGAAGTGGCATTGCAGACGTTGCTATCCAAGCTCATGCTGCCGACCAGTACAATGCGTATGTCGCTTTCCACCCAGGCGACGCGATTCTGGGAGTGGAGAGTTCGGACAGGAATACTATCATTCAGATGGCGGTTGAAGCTGGTCAGAGTTCCCTTGCCGCGACAGCGGCGCTTGGCGAGAATATCAATGATTAGTTGGCAGTCGTCGCCGGCGCCAGAGCTCGGGGCGCTTGCCGAAGATGTGGCCGACAAGCTCGGAGCCCCCAAGAAGGCCACTGTCGTGGCGCTTGCCTGCTTGGGAACTGATCAGGCCGCTGCCAGAGCGCGTCGCGCGCCGAGGGCCAGAGCAGAGACGTTCGCTTGTCGCAGCAAGCATCAGGGGCGAATGGGGGAGCTCGAGCGTTGCATGCGCGACCTGCCTGAGGCTAAAAAGCATGAGGATTGGCAGAGCATTTCGCACTGGAGCCAGGCCTGCACTCACTTGCGGCGTCGGGTTGCTCGGATAGAATGATGCTGGGCTGCTCCAACTTCGGCGTGGCTAGTGCAAGCGGGTCAATCCATTCCGCGGCGGTGCTTCCCTCGCGGCCAAGCTGGCGCTCGACGGAGATCCTGCGCTCCGACAAGAAATTGCGCCAGCGCTTCAATGGGGTCGGATGGCAAGGGCCGCGGTCAGCAGCCCGCGACGGCGATGGCATCCCTGCGGGTGCTCAAGGCGTGGCGGGGCAATGCCGTCGCAGACTTGCCATGGAAACAGCTCGCGTGGCATCAGAGTCGCGGGCGCCTTGCTAGAACAGCTCTTTGCGCGCGCAGAGTCGGACGGTCAGTGCAATCCAGTGCCGTTTGGAAGGGTCACCGTGGAGTTCAAATTCCGCTGGGGCGCGCTGCGCCAAGCATGCTCGAGGGCCTCGTGGGTAAGGCCATGCGGAGATGCATGCATCGAGATGGATCTTTCACAGGAGTGGCAAGCCCCTCCTGGTGCTCGCATATCGTTCGGCTTCATTCGCGGCGCTGTCGGACCCGGAGCTCGACGCCTCAACGAGAATCGGAAGTTTCTGATCAAGACGTAGGCATCTGATCGTCGTTGGAATCGGGACCGCGCGAGGTTGAACGGGTACCAGACAGACGGTCTATGTCAGTGTGGAGCTGCTGATACGTTTCACCGCGTATTATTGTCGCGTTCGGGGCCTGATGTGGTGGCGGCGCGGGGAAAGTCCGAAGTCTCTGCAGATTCCATCCAGGACGGCCTTGGCAATCCAGATGGTCGAATCTTTTCCCATGGCGGTTTCGCGTGCGTGGGCGCGGATGTACCTGGCAGAGATCCTGGTGCTCACGTTCTGCGCAACCTGACACACTTGTCGAGTCGTTTGTACTAGCTGACCGACTTGAGTTTGCAATGGATGGGTCGGCGGCAAGCCCCTCCTGTGTTTTGAAAGAGCAGGGTGGGCTGTTGTGCCCATGGCCCCCCCCGGTCTGACGTACCCGTGGCGGTGATGTACGCCGCTGTTCCCGAAGCGATGCCACAGTCATCATCGATGGCGGGGTTCCTGAGCATGGCCTTTGTCGGGCAGATCGCGGACATATGCTCCGCGGTGTATGCCGATTTCATGGCAGTGGTCAGGGCGGCGACCAAGCCCAAGGAAAAACAGCTGCAGGCTAGATCAATGTATTCTTGCGTGCAATTATTCGGTCACTCGGTGCGCGGATACGACTGTATCGGTCACATGTTGCATGTGGAAGCCCACAGGTCAGGCGAGCAGTACGTCGCGCTCTCGGCCGAGGACAGGCGCATCACGGACGCCAACGTCGTCGCCGATGCCTTTGCCAAAAAAGCTGCTGCGCTGCATTCGCCCTCGCCCCTTGACTTCCTGGTCAATAATATTGCGAAAGTGTTTCAGAACCCAGCAGTCTGTGAAACTTGGTGCCGCTGTTGCACCTTGTTCCGATCAGGAGGAACAGGGTCTTCCACGCTCCCGGTCTTGCTCGGTCCAAAAACAACCAGCCTTTTCCTCCTCCTTCTCCTCCTCCCCTCCTCCTCCTCCTCCTCCTCCTCCCCCTCCTCCCCCTCCTCCCCCTCCTCGCGTTTCTCCCGCTCCTCCTCCTCCTCCTCCTCCTCCCCCTGCTCCTCCTCATCCTCCGCCTCCTCCTCCTCCTCTTGCTCCCCCCCTCTCCTCCTCCTCCTCCTCCTCCTCCGCCTCCTCCTCCTTCTCCTCCTCCTGCTCCCCCCCCCCCTCCTCCTCCTCCTCCTCCTCCTCCTCCTCCTCCTCCTCCTCCTCCTCCTCCTCCTCCTCGTCCCTCCTCCTCCTCCTCCTCCTCCCGTTCCTCCTCCTCCTCCTTCTCCCGTTCCTCCTCCTCCTCCTCCTCCTTCTCCCGTTCCTCCTCCTCCTCCTCCTCCTCCTCCTCCTCCTCCTCCTCCTCCTCTTTTTGGGTGACCCAGAGGGGCTCCAGCTGAAAGGGGGTGGTGCAATAGATTTGGGGCAATTGTATTGCAAACGTACTGCGCCGGAGAACTGTGTTGCATTGCGTTGCAAGTAATGTACTGCACGCGAAAATACAGCAATACACTTGCGCCCCGAAATGTATTGCACGCCCCAAGTGTATTGCAACCCCACAAATCTATTGCACCAAATCTATTGCACCACCCCCTTGTCGCTGGACCCCCTTTTGGGTCAACCCGATGCTGAGAAGCCTCGCCGCCTTCGGAGAAGGCGTGCCCCCTCTCAGCTCACCCCTCGGCGCGCCGCCGAGAGGGGGCGGGGGGCGCGGAGGAGGCGCACGGGCATGCAAGAGGGAGAGGGAGAGGGGGGAGAGGGGGAGGCGAAGCTGTGAGGCGCGATCCCCCGCAACGCGGCTCCGGCAAGGGTATGTAGATCCGCTTCTCGAAGCGCCGTCGGATGCCCGTGTCCAGGTCCTGGCGGCCAGGCAGGGGGGCCCTTAGCCGCTGCCCCTCCATTCCCTCGCCCTTTCCCTGGAAGAGGTGCGGGCGCACCTGCCCGGCGCAGGATGCCTCTATTCTGTGTCCTTATTCCTCCTCCACCTCCTCCTCCCTCTCGCCCATGCCTCCCCAACCCGTCCTCACTCCTTTTCCTTCTCCTCGCGCTCCTGGCCGTTCAAGAGATCGGGTGTGATTTGCATTGCGTGTCGGACTCTGACCCTGCCGATGCGAGCCCCGAGACACACCCTTCGCATGTGGAAGGGCCTGCCGGGGGACTTGCGAATCCGCTGTTGTCTGATTTCCATCCACCCCCCTCCTCCCCACGAAGCGCACCGCCTGGCTGCCACAGTTGTTTCGTCGGGGAGGAACGAGGGGAGCACGACGTCGAGTTCCCTTCGCTCCTCCTCGTGGTCGTACGACCACATCACCTCACACGACTTGGCCTAAACCGCGGTGCGAATCAAAAGGTCGTCAAGCAACCCGGGCACCCCGCGCGAAAACCGATCCGCGGCAAGCAGACTCGCGCAGGGAACCGTGGCCTGCAGGAGGAGGCGAGCGCGTCGCGTACGAATATTCCCCGAGGCCCTAAAGGCCACACCCCTTGGCTGCCACCATCACCATGTCGGGTGGGGTCCAAGAGTGGGGTTCGCAAGTCATGGCCCGAGGCGCAGGGAAGCATTGGAACGAGACGAAATGGCGTTGACATCTGGGAAACATCATGGCCCTGGCCATGACATCCCCACGGTAGCCGTTTTTGGCTCAAGTTGTTTCAAGAGCTGAGCAGCAGCGATACTTCGGTACTGAGGACTCCTTGCTGTTCTTCCTGCATCTTGTCAGGCAGCTAGCGCACAAGTGGTTGATTGACATGAGCTCGAGGTCCGGGGAGAAACGGGGTCTTGGCCTCTCCAGAATCGAAAATGCACAAAAGGCAGAAACAATCCAAAGACGAGCATACTTGCCAAGCTATACGACGTGTTGATGCGTATGGAAAATATACGTACAACATGCAAAACGATGTGCAAGTGGCGAAGAATACTGCCGGGAAGGCAATGAGGGGTGACGACTTTGAAGGGGGACATCAACACGCTAAAACAAAAAGATAAACAACTAATGTATCGGAAATGACTTACACGAGATCAAACAGACACTCAAACACATCCAACCCAAACAAACAAACTGTAAACCTAACATAACCGACCATGACTATGACGACCATGATGATCAACAATCCAAGGACCTTCAGGTGGTCTTGACTAGACGGTGACGCCATCGTGAAATAATTGACGGATGAGGTCAAGACACTACGGTGTAACAATATATATGAGGATGTTTTCGTATTCAACGATCAGTCGAAATTTGGTGTCATCAAATTTCACACCGTCGCTGCGAAGATCGGCTTTCTCAAAAAGAAGAATATGGTTAATCACACCTGGTCTGCAGGAAAATCGATGGGATTCAAATGCAATGGTGACCAGAATAAGTGAGCTATGGATCAGCAGCTTGGGAAAATTAAGCATCTACTACACGATCAGAAAGGCAAAGCCATGACGGACATCATTCTCTGGAGGAGCCAGACCGTGGAGCTGAAGGAACAGAAGATCGCATGGATGGAGGACGTGGCTTGGCACTATGTGAACGAGGGGGATAAGGCGAAGGAAGGAATGGAACAAACCATGATGGAATGGAGGAGTGAAAGCGGAATGGACGACGAGGATGACGAGTGAAAGGGAAAACTGGGAAGAAGTGGGCGCCCAACGAAGGTGTCACAAGAGTGCGAACGTAATCAGTATGACGAAGACGTACTCGGCGATTTTCCAGTGGCAGCGTTGCGCATCGTAAAGACGCAGCATGAGGTTTATCAAGAGGAGGTTGCACATATTCCAGAAGAATGCGAGAAGTCTTACGAACGATGGGAGGATCGAGGAGATGATGAGGAAGCTCGTTGCTGTACATTGGAATGTTACTCTCTTCAACGAGACGTTGAGCGCGGATGCCCGCGAGTACTTCGAGACGCCCGAGGGACACGTCTTTGCCGAAGTTGGGTATTGTTAGCATGAACGGAGTGTGGCAGTTCTTGTGCACCGCAGGTGGGCGAAATCAATGTCACAAATTGTTGTCGTGCGAGACCGTCTTGTGTTCGTGGGCAACAAATTTATCACATATCGTATGAGACTTGTTGCGGCTGATTTCCTTTCTAGGTGCGCATACGCACATCTGCCAAAGGTGTACAGCAATTCCATCTGCTCTGAGACGGGAGGCTAACATCAAGCATAATCGTTTTCTCATGGGCGCTGCTTGCAACGCCCAGGCAAGGAGCCGCACGGTTCTCGATGACCCTATGGTGATGGGCACATGCGGGTGGATGACGAGAACTCACGAGGGCAATGCTCAAACAATGGGCTACGATGGAACACACCATAATCTGCAACACGTACTTTTCAAAGCCGCTGGACAAGACAAGCACGCATACAACCACGAAAGGCAAGGCGAGACAACCCGATTATATTTTGGTAGATCGTCAGGTGCGGAAGTTCGTCAAGGATTGCGGGCCTGAGTGTGTTCATAATCTTGGGTCGGATCACGCTGCTGTCAACATCGTCCTTTGGCCCACCCACGAGAACGGATGACGTCTAAAAAGGGAACCATTGCAAAATCGGCTCTGCGGGACTCCGTGGGGAAACGGTCATGCGCAAGGGTATGCCGACACGTTGGCGCAGAACATCTTTGACGAGGAGTTCCCAGGTGACGGAACGGTCCGGCGGTGAAACTTGAGTCACTCTTGGTGGCGGCTGCAGCGCAACACGTAAAGATAAGCGCGGTTACACGCATTGCAGCGACACGGGCACGGGCACGAACACAGCACTTACGAGGCTTGTTTTCAGAAGCGGCGAACTTTGCCAAACGATGTGGGGTCCCAACGGACTGAACTGAACAAAGTTCGAAAGCAATACGGGCACAATGAGAAAGGCAATCGCCAACGAACGCATCAACGACATACTGGAGAATGTTTCTGGGTTGTAACATATTCTAACGATCAAGTCCAGAAGAAACATGTCTGGTTTCATGTATGCTTGGCAGATGCCAAGTTGTTACTACGATGATTGTTATGGCAATATATTACATATTTCTACGTAGTCTTACGAACTGCTGCTCTTGCAGCAGAGACAACGCATGAGGCCGTGCCAGATTTTACTGCAAAGACATCAAAGAAGCCCTATACCAGTTGAAGCGAAAACGATGCTCTGACCAAAGCGGCGTCGTCGGGGAAATGCGTACAAAAGAGGGACTGCTTTGTTGGAAACATTGGCAAAACTCTCAAACGCCATTCCGAAGCCTGACACAATCCACATGTTGGAAACGAGCTGTAATCACTCTTGTCTTACAGTCTGTAAATGAGGGGCTCGCAAAGCATTATCAGCAACTTGTTCTGCAACTTGATTTTCAATCGTACATCGCCTGTTCTGGAAAAACAGCCAATGCCCAGACCAAGCGGGCTTCAGAAGCGGCTTCAGTACGGAGGACCACTTGTTCACATTATTTCAGCTACAACAGAAGGTAACCGAACTTCAAATTCTCTTGTGGTGCACGGCGATCGATTTTCAGAAGGCGCTCGACTCGGTAGAGAACCAAGCCTGGTGGAAAGCTTTGTTGAAGTAACATGTGCCCATTCCCATAATTACATTTCCTTGCTAAAACAACTTTACTGTGGCCAACAAAGGCAAACCAATACAGACGTTCTTAGCTGGCCGTTCGACATATCAAGGGGCGCCAAACAAGGCGGCCCACTGAGTTCGCTCAACTTTAACTCGCTGCTGGAGGATGTGTTCGTGATGCACTGACCCGGTGGGTGGACAAGGAGTACGGCGTGCAGCTCGGGTACAGCGATGTGTCACGGCTAACGAACGTGCGATTCGCGGATGACGTGCTTCTCACCCGCCAAAGCTGGCAACAGATAGTTCGTACGCTGTCAGATGTGCGGCGGTAAGCGGCTTCAGTTGGATCTCCTTTACATCCAGGTGGCCTGCTCGTAGCTAGCGTTGCGGTTGTGCTGCTTGCATGTTCTATTCCACGGCTACTTGGGGTCAGGGGACGAAGGCACTAAAGCGTCACAGTCTCGCCAAATTTTCTGTGGCCTTTCCTAAGTTTGCCGATGCGCCGTGCAGGCGCCTGACTCACCTGACCCTACACCCAGACAAAACGAAACTCATCACCAACGCTACTCGAGGCACTGGACGGGGTAAGAGAACGCATACCGAAATAGACGACATGCAGATCGAGATCGTGCTGCTGGTAGACCCGGTGGATTTTTTGAGTAACCACGTCGTGTTCGACAACCCAGTGGAAACAGTTTCGTCAAGGATGGAAGGCGCTCATGGCGAGCAGTGAGGAAATCACCAATAAGAACTTGCTCAAACGTCGTTTGCGCCTCTTCGAGAGTGGCCTCTCCCACAATATTTTATGGGTCATCGAAATGGACAATATCTGCTGCCATGGAACAAGAACTTCAAGCAACGCATCGCCGAATGCTGCGAATGTCATTTGGTATTGGACGAGGTCGCGTAAAGGGCGTACCGAAAGGTGGTGCTGACCAGAATCATTGATCGAAATCGCCGTCCAATCTTTCTTCATCTGAATCTTCGTCTTCATATGCATCTTCGGTCACAAAACACCCCGTTACCTTGGAGCCGTGGATACGGGTGGCACTGCCCGTGGCGTTTCATCCCCCTGATCGGATGAGTGCCGCCGGAGACTTCTCCTCCCAATCTTCGTCACTAATGGGGGCCCGATGGCCCACCCCTCCCAAGAACGTTCGGACGGGGCCTGTCGCCCATCTACCAGCGATGTATCTCCGATTCCGGGCCGATGTCCCCCCACCCCCCGTGCGGGTCCCCTGGTGGTTCTCGGGCCATAACTCGGGCCTCCGGCGGCCGTCGGGGACGATCCAAGCACCCTCGGAACGCTCTCGGCAAGGCGCAGCCGCTGGACGGCATCCCGAGGCTGCAAAGCCGCGGGCAACTCACGGAAACATCCGCAAACCTTGAAGCTCAAACCTCCGAGCCACAAAACCAGACCGACCGATCCTACCTTTCCCTTCTCCCGACCCCGCGCGCTCCCAGGGGCAGTTCGTGGCCCCCAGCACCAGGATTCCCGCACTCGATTTGCCCACCTGGCGGGGCGGCGAGGGAACGACGGCTTTGGGGGGGACGGTGGGCTGCCTATTCCGTCTTCTACTCCTCCTTCTTCTCCTGATCCCTCTTCGTCAACACTCCTCCACAGACTCTTTATCCTTCATTCCCTTTCCCTATCAATAACCTCTCCCTGTCGCACCCCGAGGCCAGTTTTTAGGGCGGTCCGGGCGCTTCGCCTAAGATTTCCTCACCATTCATGATTCTGAAGCTTGAAAGTTGGCAAATGTTTCACAGATGGAGGGCGGGCCGTTTTCAAAATGTGGCTATCGCCTTAGCGCCGCGCGCATTCGTTTTTAAACATTGGAAGAATGTCACGGATTGAGGGCGACCTGTTTTTCAAAATTTGGCTCTCGTCTTAGCGCCGCGCATATTCGTTTTTTTAACAAATGCAAGGAACTCACGGATTGAGGGCGGTTACTTTTCAACATGTGGCTCTCGCCTTAGCGCCGCGCAAATTCGTTTATATCATTTCCAAGAGTTCCATGGATCCCCATCATCAGCGTATCATAATTTGTGTTTTTGGACAGATTCAGGATTATGCGGGTGCAACGGTTACATAGGTTCGCTGTGCTGAAGTTCCAGGAACGGCGTTCTGGCACGATTCAAGATCGTCTAAACGCAACAGTCAGGTTGATCCGTGGCGTTGGAATCCCGAGAACAATGTTTTGGCACGAATCGGGTTCTTCAAACGGTTGTCTTCCGACGGGGCAATTCCCTCAATGAAAATGAACCGTTGCAGGGGCCTATGAAGAGGGAGCTTGGAGGGAGGGTTCATTCCAACATCATTGATGACTCTTGGGTTTACAGTGGTCCTCCTCCTCCTCCTCCTCCTCCTCCTTCGCTCTTGTCCTCCCCATCCCCTCCTCTTCTCCCTCTTCCCCCGCCTCCCAGCTCTATCTCTCCCTCGGGGGTGAAGTGGAGCGAGAAGGGATGCGGAGGAGGGAGGGTGGAGGACAGGAGGGCGACGAAAGGGAGAGGGGAGGATGAGAGAGTGAGGAGCGATGATGACGATGATGACGAGGGAGGAGGGACGAGGGCGGTAGAAAAGGAGGACGCAGGAAGAAGAGGACGAAGAAGAAAAACCGGAATGCACGCAAAACACATGAACGGTCCGACTGAACCAAAGAAAAGCTCCCGTCCCAAGTCCCGCCCTGAAAGGTCCCTACCAGCATTCCTTGTCATCACGGGGGGTTGCCGCCTTGAGCAGAAACGAGCGCCCCGTCTGCGTGCCCCTCAAGCGAAAGCTCCGTTTTGGAAAGGAGCCGCCACCAACCCTTGTGTTCCTTGACGCTTTGCGTATCCCATCCAGCCTGGCCGTCGTTGAATTTCCGACGCGTGACGCCTCCGACTGACTTGCAGCTGTGCACGCGGCAGTTCCCCTCAGCTCAGTCCCGGCAGCACCCCATCTGAGGCCTCGGCCGCGCTTAGGTGTCGCCTCGTCCGTCGCTCTGTTTGTTCTTCCCGCGTTTCCCTTGCCTAATTCGTCTCTGCGTAGTCCGCTTTGACCTGACTCGCCGCCGGCGCTCTCGCCCGCGGTCGCTGACTAAAAGTATCCCAACCAGCCCATCCAGAAACGATGCCCACGCGAGTTGCCTTGATCAAAGACATGTTGGAAACCAATGAAGACACCAATGAGGGGGCAGCCGTCAAACCGAAGCTCGGGATGGGCCCGAGCAGGCCCGGGATCAGCCCCGAATGCCTTCGCGGCTGTTCGATCTGGGAGCCCCTCGGTAACTCACTTGGGCCAAGTTGGGGACATGCTGCAAGTCTTTGGGGCTGCCTTGGGGCCCTCCTGGGGGCCATCGATCCAAAAAGGTGGATTAGTTAATTGCGAGCCCGTCCGTCGGATCGGAACCCTTGGCATCATCTCTTGGGTTGCTATTTGGGTCGTCTCAGGGCTCTACATTGGGCCATTTTGGAAACCTCTTGAATCCCCATCGGAGGCGAACATACGAGAAGGCCAAACACATTGATGCTCCTGGGTGCTTGGGAAAGATTTGGGCTTCCCGGGGGCGTCCTTTGGAGGCTCCGAGAAAACCTTGGGCCGTCTTGGGGCGGTTTTGGGGCAGGGAGACATCCTGGAAAACAGACTGCGTAATCGTGGGATATGTTGCGTGTTGGAAGCCATTCCGGGACACCAACCAGCAATCTCACACCCTCTGACCGCTCGCCCCTCCCCCTTATCGTCCACACCCAACGGGAAGAGTGTATGGAAGGTCAAGTTACCTAGGAGCCGCAAGCCGTCTCGCTCACTCCCACCCGCCCTCCCAACACACGAGTAGCACCCGAATCTCAACATAGTCAGCGGACGCTATCCGATGGGCAGCTACTTGGAACCAACACAAACGCGAGGTGCGCGACGCTGGCGAGGTGCGGCGCGCGTGCCAAGCGCGCTCCATGCGCACCAGGCGGCCCTTGGGCCCAAGAGTGCCAGGTGCGCCTGGTTCGGCAGAGGCGCCGCGTGCTTCATGTGTGCGACGTGCTACAGCCGAGCCGAGTGCGCACGCCGGGGAACATGTCGACGCCACCCCCTTTGATCCTTGTCAACAACGGCTGCACAGTGGCGGCAGGGTGGCTGTCATGGTGTACGGTGGTGCGCGCAACCGTATCACAGTGCATTGCGTGTCGGAGCGGGTGTGGGGCCTGCGCGCTCGCCAGATTACACGAGGGCGCCCCCGCCATTCTTTTCAAAACGATATAAAACGATCGCGGGGAGCCGCCGCATGGCCCAGTAGTTATGCCACAATATGTACTTTTTGTTTCCCCACATTCGTGTTTTCTCTGGGCGCCCTGCGTTGTCCTCACACCTCACACCTCGCCTCCCAGCCTTTCCGTTCCTCAGCTGTTCCCACATTCGCCAATCGTATCACCAGCATCGCCATCATCATCGCGCCACCGTCATCAATCACCATTACCGTCTTCACGTGATGACCATCGGTGACCATCACCATAATCATCGTCACCGCACACATGTTTTCCCTGGACAGCCCCGCGCCAAAAAAACAACAAACACCCCCTCATCATCATCGTGGGCGGATTGCGAATAAAACTTGTAACTGTTTCCACTCAGGCGTCACCCCCCGTCATACGGGGCCCGCAACTCGTGTTCTTAATTCGGGTAGGTCATCGGAGCCGTGTAGCGGTCGTCACCGTTGGACTTTACACCCCTGGGTATGGCGGAAGCATCGAACGAAAGCGACGTCTGTGACTGAATTGCGAGGGCGTCTCAAGTGGGACCCCCCCCCATGGGGCCCACAATTCAGGATACTCATCCGACCTGGTCATCGGAACTTTGTATCAGTGGTCTTCTTGGGGCTCCCCATGCCTGAGTATGGGGGAAATATCGAGCGGGAACATCGTCAGTGAGTGAGTCGTGAGGACGTCTCAGGCGGGACCCCCCCCGCCCTATGGGCCCGCACCTCATGTTATTAATCCGAACGGGTCGTCGTAACCCTGTAACTGTCGTCACTTTTGGGATCCTCACTTGTGATCGTGGTGGACGTTTTGAAAAAAGGAACCTCGTTTGTGAATGAATTGCGAGGAGGTCTCGGGTAGCGCCAACTCCCTATGAGCCCGCAGCTCATGTTACCAATCCGGACGGGCCATCGGAAACGTATAAATGTTGTCATTTCAGGGCTCCCCGAGTCTGGTTATGGCGGACGTTTCGTGCGGGAGCGTCGCCTGCGACTGAGCTGCGAGGAGATCTCAGGCTGGGTCCCCTCCGTATGGGGCCCGTCGCCAGTTTTAGGATCCGAGAGGGTCATCGGAAACTGTGTAACCGTTGTCACGTATGGCCTCTTAAGCTTGGGAAATCGTGGAGTTATTTGGCGGAAGCGTCGTTTGTGATTCGATGGCTAGGAAAACCTCAGGTGGGACTTCGCGGGAATTCGTGGAAAGCGGGCCGCCGGCGTCCCTGCGGACGGCGCTCAGGGAGTTCGACACGAGAGCGGGGAACTCCAGGGCTGAGGCAGAGCAGCTCGCGGCAAAACTGGGCTTCGCGCTGCCTGCCGCCTGAGCACGGCTGCGACCAGCTCGAAACCTGCGCTGCTGTCCCACCGGCTTGCTCCCGCGCTCCAGCGGCCCGTGGGGTTGTCCCAACGGCCTGGCCCACGGGGTTGCCCCGATGCCTTCGCGAGGAGCGCACCCGTGCCGGCCGCGCGGACCACGGCGCCAAGGAACATCGGCTTGCGTGCCCTGGCTCAGTGGGCGCGGGGGGAGAACAGGCAGGAGGACGAAGAGGAGGCAGAGCAGGGGGCGGGAAGAGGGCCTCCGCCAGGGCGACAAGGAGAAGAGCACTGAGAAGGAGCCAGTGCACTCACAAGGACGACGGTAAGTTTCACGCCCAGATCAGTTTAGGATATTCTCATGGGGGGTCCTACCTGCCGTCGGAATGCGTTTTCTGACTGGGATCGCGGGGGGTGGGGGTGAGCATTATTTCTGGTTTATCGCAGGTCGTGTGGGGGAGGGGGTGTGGGCGCCCCGCGACCACTTTGGTAGTAGTTGCTGAAAGGATCGCGCGCGTGCGCGCGTGCGCGCGTATGTGTGTATGTGTGTGTGTGTGTGTGTGTGAGAGAGTGCTTTGTGTTGTGTGTGTGTTGACAATCCCCACGATCACTTTGCTGCCATTTGACTGGGCTAAGTCAGGCGCGCATCGCTCGCATGAGCCCATGGCACCTGGCGCACCTTGTGCGCGTGGCGCTCCCCGCACGTGCGGTGCACCTCGCGGACGTCGCGCGTATGGCTGGCCTCTGCATTAGTTTCCGATGGCTGCCGATGGTGGCGCGGCCTATGCTGAGATTCGGGTGCTACTCATGTAGTGGGAGGGCGGGTGGAAGCGATCGAAACAGCTTGCCTTCCACTGTGTCTGTGCGGGGGCGGGCCCGAGTGGTCAGATCGTCCACGATGTCAATAGTCCGAGAAGTCCTAGATGGCCACCAAAATGGCCCACGACAACTCAGGATAGTTCAAAACCTCCAACATGCCTCCAGGAGGCCCCCAAACCGCTTTACGACGGCTCCACGTGGCCACGGGGCCTGCCAAGGACGCCCCCGAGGGGTCCAAACCCATCCCAAACATGAAGAACAAAAGACTACTGCTGCCTTCTCGCCCGTTTCCTTCCGATAGGCTTTCAAGCTTCAAGATGGCCCACGGGAGCCGCAAATAAAGAGAGCCCAATCGGGCCCAAGGTGACCTAATAGGCCTCCATGTGGCCCCCAAGAGGGCCCAAAGGAACGGTGCTTCAGCCTCCGAGGGGTGGTGGGGAGGAATCCGCCGACCCTGTCGGCGTGTGCGAGGGGCTTGGCTGTTCGAATCGTCGTCTCCGTCGGTCGTCGCCTCCGTCGTCCCCTTTCCCTGCAGCTTCCTTCTCAAGCTCGTGAGCGAGAGAAAAATCGAGCAGTGTCGTAATCGAGTCGAAGGGAAACCCCTTCCCTTCGATCCCTTCCCCGGGGGGGGGGGTCCCAGGGGGGGTGGAGGGGGGGGTCCCGGGGGGGGGTCCCAGGGGGGGTCCCGGGGGGTGTCCCGGGGGGTGTCCCGGGGGGTGTCCCGGGGGGGGGTCCCGGGGGGGGTGGGGGGGCAGATTCGTTTCTCCTCGGGCGGCCTAGAAACCTCGAAAACACTCCAAATGAGGTTCGAATGCGCCAGATGGCCCCCGAGACGGCCCAAGAGGGCCCCGAGTCGCCCAAAGATCGGCCGAAAACGCCCAAGATAGCCCCAAGACCGTCCAAGAAGCCTCCAAGACGTCCCAGGCGCCCTCCAAGAGACCCTCAGGAAGCCCCAAGAGGCCCCCACGAGGCTTCCAAGCGGCCCCTAAGAGCTTCCCAAGAGGCCCACAAACTACCCCCAAGAGGCCCCCAAGAGCGCTCGTCGTCGTCGTCGTCGCCATTCAGGGTCGGCGGCACCGGCCGTAAGGCCTTCGCAATAACTCCCCCTTGAGCCACGGGGCCCAGGATCACTCCCCAAGGGCCCGTATACACTTCCAGAAAGCTCCACCGAGCCCCAAGGGGGGGCACAATGCCTTCAAGCCAGGTAACCGGATAGCTCCAAGACGCCTCCAGCAGCAACAGAACTGCGAAAGCGCTCCACTCCTCGTCGTCCCCCCCCTCCTTCGTGCACTCTTCCTCCTCCTTCTCCTCCTCCTCCTCCTCCTCCTCCTCCTCCTTCTGCTCATCTTCCTTCCCCCTCCTCCCATCCTCCCGTGATGTCCCCAGAAATCCTCCACGAGGCTCCTAAGACAACTTGCGTGGGCATCAGTGTTGGACATGTTGGTGGGGATACCCGAAGCGCCACATATTTCATGAGGATCGAGGAAGAGCCAAACACTAACCCACCTTTGAAGAACATCATTTTTCACCTGCGCCGCAACTTCACATATGAAAACTTCGAGATGTGAACACTAAACACGTCGAAAACGAGAACACATGTTTGACTGAAAGGGCCGCCGTTTTTTCATGCAACTGTCGCGTTTGCATACGCCTCCTCCTTCTCTTCCGTGTCATCTCTATCTCTACTTCGTTCTCCGTCCTTTTCATGATTCTCTTCCCTGACGCTCACTTGCCTCTGGAACCCCACCGTTTGAATAAAACTCTGACGTGCCCCCTGACGTCGAGCTGGTTTCGAGAACGCCAACTCGTACAATACGTTGTGTCACACAAAATGGACACGATGCGCCATCCAATATATTTTTCCCCAATTAAGGCCATTTCTGATCCGGACATGTTCTTTGGAGGAGAAGCTGGTAGTGGACAAGATGCTTCCACAACTGGCGCCACAACGTTGATGCTGCCACACGCCGAAAGCAACATAGACAACCATCTGGATGAAGACGCAACGCACGAACCACAAAACGGCTGTGCTTGAAAACCGTCTTCTTCCTCACCAACCGTGTGCGAACTATGCCCGTCAACGCTTAGTGGTTACCGAGAGCCTCCGTCCAACGGAACGACGCTGTCGCCGCAGCTGTGACAGTGGTGAGCGTACTCCCTGCGAAATGCTTTAGAAATCATGGGTTCAGAAATTCAGAGTCTCAGAACTTGAATAAAAACCCAACATTTCCATTCAAATCTCAGGATTTACATTGAAACGTTAAGAATAATCGAGACTCTGGCCGAAAACTTAGGTTTTCTTGAGCATCGCCCAAGGTGTACTCCTGCACCAGTGGTAGGTGGTGATCCCGCCGAGGGGGCTGCCACACGTCTGGCGCGTGCCTGCCGATCTCCAGTGGAGCGGTGCTGTCGCCTCAACGCTGGCCGTAACTAAAGGGAAATTAGGACACACAAATAAATACACACAAATAAAATTTTCTGGGTTTTTGTCTTCCCCCCAATTCCCATATTTTCCCATATTTTCCTGGGAATCGAGGATTAATTGTGTCTGTGTGTTTTTTTCCCTCCTGAATAACCTTGCAACAGCAGAAGCTGTGCCTCCCCCCTCCCTGGAGCGTGCACCGCCACTGATTTCCGCAGAGATTCCGTCCAGCGGAACGGTGCTCTAGCCGACGCTAGGCGACGAGCCCAGGGGGGAAATGAGAAGGAGAAGGCCTTCTCAGAAGGCCGCGGGACTTCTTAGAAGTCCGGGGGACTTCTGAGAGGTCTCCTTAGCCTATTTCGAATACAGACTGAACTTCTCAGAAGCCCTCTCAGAAGTCCGGAAACTTCTCAGAAGCCTCGGAAGTCCCGCCCCTTCTCATTTCCCCCCCGCGCCCGCCGCCGAGACGCGCTGGCAGCCCCCTGCTCGAGCATGTGCGCTGTATCTCCCCAAAGTCGGCTCTTGCGTGTCGCGCCCTGCCGTGTGTCAAGGAGGGCGTCGGGGAAGACCGTTGGGGTCGAGACTTTTCCCGACGTCCGACTCTATGAAGAGAGACGGTCAGGGATGGGGGAGACGGGCAGGACGTGAGATACGACGCAAGCTCACCTGGCTTGCCCACTTTCCCCTGTCGTTTTTCCCTTCTGCCCTTTACTTCCCACGTCTCCTCGTCCCCACCACGCTCTCCCAATTCCCCCCCCTCGACTCCATGCGCTACCCACCTCCACCCTGCTCCTACCTCAGTTTTCCCTCGCCCCCCCCCCCAGCATCCAATCCATCCATTCACACGATATCCTACTCGCACTCCTCACCAGATGGGATGCTGACTGCGCAGGGGGCCAAAGACACCCCGTCCATCTGCGCCAGGAACTCAGTCTTGATGCGCCGAGCCTGGCATTTCACAGCTGTGCGCGCTCGGACAGAAGGGCTGCGCCAATGGGCGGCACTGCACGACACAACGCAAACGACCAATACTTCTCGGCCAGAAGAACTAAGTAAGAACATGAAATAGGAAGGCGGCTAAAGTAGGTTGGGTTCAGGCGCTCCCAGAGAATAGCAACATGCAACACAATCATATCGGTTCTTGAAATAGGAAGGCGCTTGAGGTAGATTGGGATCTGGGAATCAAAAATACGAATTCTCAACGGTCGATATCAAGATAAACTAGCACCCGCAGAGATCACGGGCTGGTTCCTGCAAGACCGACCCCACGCCAACATTGCGGCAACCGTGACTTCGAATCCATACGCGAGCAGCAGCCGACCAGCGCTTCCACGATCAGCCTGACTCGGCCATCGCGACGAGGGGGCCCACCCTGCAGCTCCAGACATCAAATTTGCAAGCGGTAAGAGACGGGGAGATGTAAGACTCGGGTTCGAGGGACTCGGGCTGGCCCGACGGGGCCGTGAGAAACATGACGAGACCCAATCTGAAACTCGACGCGAGCTCCCGCGGCAAGCATCCCACGAAAACAGGACCACCGACATCCAGGACGGGCTCGTCAGAAAGCGTTAGCAACTCCCTCCGAGTTCTGGCGTACTCGAGTCTTACGTGTCCACGATAAAAGACGGGGAGCCGCCAATCCGGGATGAGGAGGAGGAGGAGGATCAAGCAGTGGTGAAGCGCCGCGGTTTGCCTATAGGCTCACCAGAAATAACCTTTTGTGATTTGCACGAAATGCTCTTATAACATGTCTGGCTGAGTTTGTAAAACAAAAAACGAACCAACATGTATATGCACTATTCTTTATGGTGAAACAATAAATATTAATTGAACAATGCATCGGGCTTGCGTTGCAGGAGCATCTTTGTGCCCCTGCTCAAGAGTGGGGCGGGAGGGGGAGGAGGACGACCTGCAGGCGAGAACAGTGGGGAGGAGGCGCCCGAGGAGGCCGAAGGGGCCCCGGGACACGCAAAGAAATAGACACAAGCATCAGGAGCCCCCATCATTTCCCATATTGCATGGGTTTCTGTCTTCCCCCCCCCCTTCCTTATATTTTCCAGCATTTTCTTGCGAATCGACGATTCATGGTGTCTGTGTGTTTTTTCCCTCCTGAGGGGAGGAGGGGGAGGATCTCCGTCTCCTCCTCCTCCAACTCCTCCTCCTCCTCCTCCTCCTCATCCTCCCCCTCAATCCGCATCCTTGCCCACCTGGTCAAGGCCGGCGACACTTCTTGACCTGCTGCGACCACCGAAGAAGCAATCGCACGCGCTTGGCTCCCTAGAGATCCTTCGGTGGCGCGCAAATCAAGGGGCCCTGGGACACACAAATAATACACACAAATAACAGGATTCTCCATATTTTCCAATATTTTCTGGGTTACCGTCTTCCCCCTCCACTTCCCATATTTTCTGGGAATCGACGATTAATTGTGTCTGTGTTTTTCCCTCCTGTTGAAGCAATCGCACACCCTTGGCTCCCTCCACATCCTTCGGTGGCGCGCAGACATGGATTAGCGATCCATGGATTTGGCGCGCGGTCGCCAAATCCATGGATCCGGGGAGGTGCCCTCCCCAAAGTGCGGCCGGTGGCGCCCCGCTCGGCGGCGGCAATCCGCGATTTCAGATGGAAACGCGGCCCGTCGCCAATCCACGCCCCCTTGATCCATGTCTGCGATCGCCTGACCCTCCACATCCTTGCCCACCTAATCATCCACGCTGCTCCTCCGCCTGCCCGCTACACGCAGGACTGACATTAGGCAAGCTTTTGTGCAAGGCCTTGGGCGGAGGCGCAAGCCGCTGCCGCCGCATCGCGCTCAACGCTCGGGGGGGACCAAGTGGGCCCGATCACAGCGCCCCCGCTGCTGCTTCCCTGCGGCTCCTGCTCCTCCAGCGCCTCTTGCGTCTGCTCCTCCCGCCGCTGCTCCTGCTGCCGAGGCTGCTTCTGCTCCCTGTCTTGCTCTCCTCCTCCTCCTCCTCCTCCTCCTCGACCTCCTCTTGCGGCCGCGTGCCCGCGCGGCGCCCGGAGCACGTGGATCGGGAGCCGACAGACACCCCCGCTGCCCCTCAAATGTGGTGCTGCCTCAGAAACGAGCCACTCCCAAGGGGGGGGTCTGCTCCTGCTGCTGCTCCTCCCAACCACGCCCCTCAAGCGCACGCTGGCAACATCGCCGTGTTCACCGTTTCCCTCCTCCGGCGAGCCAGAATCAATCAGCACCGAATCGGCAAATCAGGTCGAACCCCAATGTGCATCGGATCGGGCTGCATCGAGACACGGAAACGAAATCGAATCGGATCGGCTACGCCAGGATGCGTAACAACGCCATACGTGCATGGGGCCGCATCGGATCGTCGGCACATCGGAATTGCATCGAATCGGGCCGGCCGGAATCGATATCGAATCGGAGTGATCGACTCAGAATGGACCCTGGCCCTGGGAGGCCTCCTCCTCGCTTCCTGTACCCTCCTCCTTCTGAGGCCTCAGCGGGGTGGAGGACGAGGATACTCGGGCTTCCTCTCCCTCCTCTGCGCACACGAGCGCACCCTGCAGCTTTCACGCTGGCGCACACGGGGGAAACCTCCCCCCCCTCCCTCTCCTTCTCCTCCTGGATGACCCTGCCGTGCCGCACCCCGAGGCCGGTCGAAAGGGCGGGCCGGGCGTTTCGCTTAAGGCCTCCTCAGAATGTATGATCCTGATTGAAGGGAAACTGGGACACACAAATAAATACACACAAATAAAAAGATTCCCTATATTTTCCAATATTTTCTGGGTTTTTGTCTTCCCCCCCACTGCCCATATTTTCCCATATTTTCTGGAGAGTCGACGATTAATTGTGTCTGTGTGTTTTTTCCCCTCCTGACTGATGCCTGGAATTTGCAACAGCCTCACGGATGGAGGGCGGCCCGCTTTCCACACGAGGCTCTCGCCGGAGCGCCGCGCGCCTTCGTTTTCACATTGTGGCTCTCGCCTGGGCGCTGCGCGCCATCGTTCAACGGTCTGCAGGAGCTTCATGGATGGAGAGCGGTTCCGTGTTCGCAATGTGGCTCTCGCCGTAGCACCGCGCACATTCGTTTAAACATCCTGCCAGATTTCATGGATGGAGGGCGGCTCCTTTGCACTATGTGGCTCTCGCCTTGGTGTCGCGAGCACGCGAACATTGAAACAAACCAGTTCGCAAGAGTTTCAAGGATTATCATCGCTAACGTCGCATGAATGGTGTTTTGACATGAAGTCGGAATGCCAGGGCGCAACAGTCACGTGGTTTCGCGGCGTTCAACTTCCAGGAATGGCGATCTGCAAGACTCAGGATCGTCAAGGCGCAGCAAGAACGGTGATTCACGGCGTTACAGTTCTGATGCAACTCTGGATGCTCCAACGGTTGTCTCCCAAAAGGGCACTCCCCTCAGCGAAAATTGTTCCGTTTGGGTCCGTAGAGGAGCCTACGGGGAGGGAGCCTGGGAGGAGGGTTTATTGCAATATCGTTGGTGGGTCTTGTATTCATTGGTCGTCGTCCTCCTCCTCCTCTTTCTCCAGCTGTTTTGGCACGGGAAAGAACCTCGTCGTCCTCCTTGCCGTCCTCCTCCTCCTCCTCCTCCTCCTCTTCCTCCTCCCCCTCCTCCCCCTCTCCCCCTCCGCGACGGAGCCGCGTCATTCTCGCCCTCGCCCCGGGCGCCGCACAGCGAGTCCACCTGCCGCCAGGAGCCGGCTGGCGGGCGGGAAGCGCTCGATGTGGGGACCCCACAGACAGGCAGAACGACTGACAGAGAGACGGAGGAGGCGGACTCTGCGCTCCAAGTCTGCCCGCAGAGGAGCATCAGCATCAGGTCGGGCGTGTCCTCCTACAGACGGAATTTGGACGAAAAACTACAATGACCCCGAACATGCGCAAACAGAAATCAGAGATGGTAGAACAGATCGTCCCCAGAGCATCTTGGACTGTTTTTGAACTGTCCTCCTGTAGATGGGGCAGGCCCGACGTAACATTGGCAGGGAGCCGTGCTGCGTCCCGCGCCAGCGACTCGGCCAGACGGGCAGACCTGAAGGGAAACTGGGACACACAAATAAATACACACAAATAACAAGATTCCCCATATCTTCCTATATTTTCTGGGTTTCTGTCTTCCCCCCCACTTCCCATATTTTCCCATATTTTCTGGGGAATCGAGGATCAATTGTGTCTGTGTGTTTTTTTCCCTCCTGACAGACGGGCAGACCGACGGGTCCCGCACGGAAGAAAGCGCTTTTTACTGCGAGGGTGCCGCGGGTGGCCGCCGGGGCGCGCCGGCAGGAGCAGGCGCGGGCCGCGCGGGAAGGCCGGCGTCGGGCCGAGGCCGGAGAGCCGGAGGGCTGGGGCTGGCCCTGTAAAACGACGCGAAGATCGGGACAAAATCGGATCGGGATAACTCGAAATCTCTGAGAATCGGCGGGTTTGGAGGATGTGTTGGGCGCCGCGGCCGCCCCAGAGCGTTCCGGAACTGAGAGCGCTCCGGAACGCTCTGGAGCGATTTATCCCGATCCTAGCCCTGTTTTACCCTGGTAGGGAGCCCACAAAGGACGTACGCGCCCAGCTATGTCCATGAACCCCTTGGCCCGCGAGACCGGCCGCGTGATACGAATACTCGCCGAGCGCGAAATCTCGAAAACAGCGCGGATTCATGTACGTGTGCGTCCTTCTTTCGCTCCTGAGAGGCTGGGGAGCCGGAGGGCTGGGGCTGGCCCCGGGTCGGTGGTGTCCCCCTGCAGGCGGAGAGGGGACGAAAAATAGAAGGCAGCCCAACAAGACGCTAAAACATGGTCCCCCCGACTATTTTTGGGCTGTTTGTGGCCATTCCCCCTGTCGAGGGGCAAGCCCGACGGAAGACTGGCCGCTCAGGAGCTGGAGCCGGGTCGGAGCTGGAGGGCCGGAGAGCTGGAGCGCCGTGGGATTGCGAGGGCCCCCCACCCGAGAGGAAGTCTGTGGAGTCCCGAAGCGGTGCGGTGACAGACCGCGCGGTGACCTCGAACTCCCCCGAGACCTCCCGCGCGGTCCGTCACCGCACGGTCCTGGGGCCCCGGAGGCCCCAGCCGCCCGAGACGTCCTCGGAGAAAGGGACCCGAGTCCCAAAACCGTGCGGCGACCCCGAATCCCCACCGACTCACCGCACGGTGTGGCCACCATCCCGTGTGGGGGCCCCCGAAGATCAGGAGCGGCCCAGAGGGGTTTGTCCAAGAGGGGGGGGTGCAAATCATGACCGGCGGCATGTGCGCGGCCCAGCGGGGGGGCCAGGGACGTAATGAAACAAGAAGAGGCGCCATGAAATCTGGGAAAATATCATGGCCCCCGCCATGATATGCCCCCCCCCCTAGTCATCACCCCCCTCTTTGCCGCCCCCGACTCGGGGGCCCCCGAAGATCAGGAGCAGGACCACGTCGGACCGGGAGAGAAGTCGGGGGCCTCTGAGATCCGGCGGCTCTGGAGGGCGCGGGCGCCGCGGCTGTTCCGTCGCGCTCCTCCGGGACTGCTCCGAAAACGCTTTTTCGGGGCGCGGCACCTCTGCGGGTCTCGCCTTTCCGCGGATATCCACGCCAACGTCGCGGGAGAGGTCGCGGCGTCGGGGGTCTGGGGCGGGGGTAGGACGCAAGACATTCGGCGAGGAGGGGCATTACTGAAATCTGGCACTGGGGTATGACCCCGCCCGAGCCGTTGTCCCCCCGCGCCAGCACCCCGCCACCGAGGCACCAGGGAGGCCCAGGAGAGGGGGAGGGGAGGAGTGTGAGGGGAGGGGGAGAGGGGGAGGGGAGGCCCAGGAGAGGGGGAGGGGGAGAGGGGGAGGGGAGCTTCGAGCCGCAGCCCGCGAAAGGGGCCCAAGGCAGTCTCGGGTGCGATGGGGCACGTCGGAGGGGGGGGGCGGAGGAAGGGCAAAGGAGGGGAGTCCGGAGGGAGCGGGAGGCGAGCCGAGGGAATGAGGGGGGAACGGGCAGGAGGGGGGAGGGCGAGGATTGGGGTAGAGGAGGGAGAGAAAGCGAGAGAGAGAGAGAGAGAACAACAAACATATAAAGAAAGAAAGAGAGAGCAAGAGATAGAGAGAGAGAGGGACAAACAACAAGAGAGGGATGGGGGGGAGAGAGAGAGAGAGAGAGAGAGAGAGAGAGAGAGAGAGAGAGAGAGAAATAAAGAAATAAAGAAACAGAGAGAGAGAGGGAGAGAGAGAGAACGCGCACCGATTCGGACAGGTGTGTCCACGCAGGCTGGGGAATTACACACGCTGGCTGGGCCGTCCGCGCACCGGCGGGGGGCGCCGCTTCATTGGCAGGGGTTGAGAAACTCCTCCCCCCCGTGTCGCGATCAGAAAGGACCCCGGCCGGACAAGACTCACTCGGGGGCGCGCAAACATTGATTAGCGATCCATGGATTTGGCGCGCGGTCGCCAAATCCATGGATCGGGGGAGCTGCCCTCCCCAAAATGCGGCCTGTGCCGCCTCGCTCGGCGGCGGAAATCCGCGATTCCCCAGGGAAACGGGACCCGTCGCTAATCCACGCCCCCTTGATCCATGTCTGCGACCGCCTGTCTCACAACGGGCGTGGCGACGAGGGCACGGCGAGCCCCCTCTCGGAGGCGACGAGAGGGGCGACTGGCCCAAGGGGGGAACAAAATGTGCATCCGGGGGCGCCGATCGGCGAGGCTCCCTGGTGGGATGCGCGCAATGCCCGCCCCTGGGGTATTCGCCCCTATCGTCGCCGCCGACCCTCCGCGCCCGTACTGCTGCATCGGGGATCTGCTAACCCAGGTCAGTCCAGACCCGGGTCAATCGGGCCTTGCAGGATCCTGCAAGATCCTGCGCCCAAGCCCGGGTCAATGCGAAGGATCCTGCAACATCCTGTAAGATCCTGCACCCAAGCCCAGGTCAATGCGACCCTGGCCCTGCAGGATCCCGCAAGATCGGGCGCTCCAGCTGACCCCCGTTTGCATTGACCCCCGTCTCAAGGCTCTCGACACCGTCCTGGGACCTCTGCTCCGGGGACCCCCTGCCCCGCCCGCCCTGGACCCTGGCCCCCGGCCCTCGCTCCTCCCGACCCTGACCCAGAACCCAAACCGACCCCGACCCCGGACCCCCGAAGTTGAGATGTTTTCTTTACGTCGACCCCTGGAGGTCTCGACCCGTTCCCCTGGACCTGTTTTTCATCCCGAGTCGCTTTCTGACGCCTAGAGGGCCGTTCAGGGCCCCCGTTTGCATTGACCCCCGTCTCAAGGCGCCCGGCCCGTGCTGCACGGAGGCCCCGGCTTCTAGCGCGACTTGGCGCGCGCGAAAGCGCCACCAAGAGCCCTGGGAAACGACGGGGCGCCGCGTCGGGGCACCCCCCCTCGGCGGTCCGAGCGTGGGCCTCCACCTCCTCCTCCTCTTCCTCCTCCTCCTCCTCCTCCCTCCTCCTCCTCTTCTTGGAACATCATCATCATCAACAACAACAGCAGCATCACCATCACCATCACACCCACCATCACTATCACCATCATAATCATCACCACCACCACATCACCAGCACCAGCACCAGCACCAGCACCATCACCATCACCATCACCATCACCATCACCATCACCATCATCATCATCATCATCATCATCATCATAATCATCATCATCATCACCATCATCATCATCATCATCATCATCATAATCATCATCAACAGCAACAACAACATCATCACATCAGCATCAGTATCACCACTACCACCATCATCAACATCATCATCACCTCCTCCTCCTCGTGGAACATCATCATCATCATCATCATCATCATCATCATCATCATCAACAGCAACAGCAGCATCAATCATCATCATCACCATCATCACCATCACCATCACCATCAACATCACCATCACCATCATCACCACCACATCGCCATCACTATCACCATCAACATCATCATCAACATCACCACACCAGCATCATTATCATCATTATCATCATCATAATCACCTGCTTTTCCTCGTGGAACATCATCATCATCGACAACAGCAGCATCACCATCATCATCATCATCATCATCACCACCATCATCATCATCACCATCATGACCGTCACCATCACCATCACTATCACCACCATCACCATCATCATCATCACCATCATCATCACTACATCACCAACACCCACCACATCACCATCACCATCACCATCACCATCACCATCACCATCACCATCACCATCACCATCACCATCACCATCACCATCACCATCACCATCACCATCACCATCACCATCACCATCACCATCACCATCATCATCATCATCATCATCATCATCATCATCATCATCATCATCATCATCATCATCATCATCATCTTCATCATCATTATCATCACATCAGCATCATTATCAGCAGTATCATCATCAACATCATCATCACCTCCTCCTCCAACTCATCCTCCTCGTGGAACGCTTTGCCGAGCGTTCACGCGGGACGCTTGCCCAGAAGTTGTCGGCGCGCACAAGGAGGTGGAGGGAGGGGGGAGGGCTTCTTAGGAGGAGGCTGCTTCTCGGAAGACGCAGGCCTTACATCTATAGACAAGGCCCGCGCCTTCTAAGGAGCAGGGGTGCTTCTAAGAAGCCCTCCCCCCTCCCCCCACCCCCTCTGCGCGTGGCTGCAGAAGGGCCCGTGGCGAACACGGGTGCCAACGGCCCAGCCCAGTGGGCGGGTGCAGGGGCCTCCCCGCGTGTGAACTTTGGGGCGGCATGGTCCGAGAACCCACGGCCGGGCAAGCACGGCCGCCCCCAGCTCTGGCCGGCCCCACACCGACGGCGCCAGGAGGCACCGTCGGCGAGGGGGCCAGGCAGGCACTGGGGCGACGCACAGGCCCTGCCACCCCTCGGCGCACGAGAGGGCTTACACCTCTCGTGGGGGGGGCCGGGAGCGGAAAAGCCGAGAAGGCCCCAGCGCAAAGGACGACGAGCCCCTGGACGCAATCGGAAGCCTTCACGCGACGATGCTTTCCGTAGCCCGTGTAGTTGGTTCCGAACAGGACGGGCAATGCACCCTGTGGCGCACACACCCGAGGAGACAGACGGATGAAGCAATGGCGCTGAGAGGCAACACGAGTCTGGGGCTGGTGCGGCAAGGATCGTAGTGCTCACGCTCGGAGTGAGCAGGAGGGGGTCCTCCTCCTCCTCCTCCTCCTCCTCCTCCTCCTCCACTTCCACCTCCTTCCACCCTCCAACTTATGGTGGTGGTGGTGGAAAACGGGCCCACCACGGAGCCTGAGGCACTGGTCCGGTGTCCGCGTAGCGGGCCAGGGAGGGGCCTTATTCTGCAGTACCAAGGGGTCCGAGGGCGGGTCGGAGGTCGGCATCCGAGGTGGGGGGAGTCGGGGAGGCGCGCGTGAGAGGGCGCGACGGCCTGGTAAGGACGGCGAGGCCGTCGGGGCCGTCGGCGGCCGTGAGAGGCAGCAAGCGCGCCGACGCGAGGCCGTCGGGGGCCGTGGGTGGCCTCTGGCATGGCGCACGGCGGTGTCGCCGTCGCTGGCAGGGCGGCCTAGTGGCCTCCTCTTCCTCCTCCTCCTCCTCCTCCTCCTCCTCCTCACCTCGCCTTCGCGGGCTCTTCCTCCTCCTCCTCCTCCTCCTCCTCCTCCTCCTCCTCCTCCTCGCTCTCCCGCGTCCCAGAGGGACGGCGGTGGTCCAGCCCGCGCCACGCGGCCGCACCTGGTGGCGTGCCGCTCTGAGGGGCGCCCGGGGGGGGCGGGCGCGAGGCCCGCGGAGGGTCGCGGGCCTCGTCGTTGCCGCAGCGCGCTGCAGGGTGGAGCAGCACGGAGAGGAGAGTGGCCAGCTCTCGCGTCGCGGTGCCCAGCCAGGCAAGCCCAGGAAAGAGAGTCCAAAGTGGGGCGCACAGGGAGGACCGCGAGAGAGAGAGAGAGGGAGATAGAAAAAACAAACATATAGAGAGAGTCAGAGAGAGAGAGAGAGAGAGAAAGAGGAAAGGCAAGCGAGGGGGGAATGGGGACGAAAGGCGGACCTCAGGAGAAACCTCAGGACGCACGCGACACACACTTTCTCCGCTCGTCCCCATATCCCCTTACCCCTGCTAAGTACGCACCCTCATGCCCCTCTGGGTGGTGAATATCGAGAGGGGGAGGAGGGTGTACCCTCGATTTCCTCCTCTTCCTCCTCCTCCTCCTCCTCCTCCTCCACTCCTCCCTCAGTCATCTCCCCTTTCCTCGGTCGATCGTCAACGGGGGGGGGGGCAATAAACATGGGACGAAGATGCGTGCACCTCTCTTGCACCTGTTGGGCCCGTGTGGGCAGTGTAGGGGCCGTTCAGGGCCCGTTCAGGGGCTCTCTCCTGTAATCCTCGATCCCCCCACGTTTTCAAACCCCCGTTGCCGCCCTTCGCTTCGCTTCGCTTCGCTCGCAGCTCGATGTCCCGTTGGACGAAGCTGTTCGCGCGGCCGCGGCCGCGCGCGCGCGCCCGAGGCGCGCGGACGTTGCCGCCCTGTTCTCCCTCCTTCCTCCTCGCCCTCCACCCCCAACTTCCCTTCATCATCTGACTACCTCCCAGACTACCCCAATCGAGCCCGAAGACATAAATTTCGGGTTGGGGGGGGGGGTGCGGGTTCCACGTGTGTTTTTCCAATGTTCCCCGACGCCCCCCCCCACCACTGGGAATGCTGGGCAAATGTGGGACTTCGGGTTGGGTTGGGGTGGTGTGGTGGGTGCTGATTATTGTCCGTCCTTTCGTCCGCATCCTCGCCCTCGCCTCCGCCCCCGTCTGGCTCCTCAGTCTAGTCGGACCCTGCGCGAGGAAGGTTCTGCTCGCTGCGGCTGACGCCCTCGGAGCCTCGTCGATAAAGATGATCGAGGGCTTGGT